CCCAGCGTCACCCCACCTCCTGGGGATGAGCTGCCCCTAGCTACAGCTGTCTGCGGGGCAGGGGAAGGGAGGTGGGGAGAGGGGTACAACGGGGTCTCAGGAGCTGCTCGCAGCCCGAGGCCTTCCCCGACACCCCACCAGCCCGTCTGTTTGCAGGATGCCGACTTGGCTCGTTTGCTGAGCTCCGGCTCTTTCGGGAACCTGGAGAACCTCAGTCTGGCCTTCACCAACGTAACCAGTGCCTGCGCTGAGCACCTCATCAAACTGCCTTCTCTCAAGCAGCTCAACCTGTGGTCCACTCAGGTGCACACTGCTTGCCTGCGCCCTGCTCCGTGCTCCCACCCACCCCCTGCATCCTGCACCCGCCCTCATGCCCCCGTGCACCCCTGCTCCGCTCCTGCTCTGGCACTCTCCTCCGTGGCTGGCCTTTCTGCCCAGAGCCCATGGCCCCGTCTCCTGATTACCACACCCCCTCCCCCGCTCAGCACCCACTCCCGAGGCCAGAGGAGGTTTAGGAGCTCATGAAGCCCAATGGCCCATTTCACAGGTGCAGTTGCTGAGGCCCAGGGCAGGGCAGGGATGTGCTGGGCAAAGTCTTAGAAGCCCCGAGAGGCAAGGCTGAGAGGTGGGCTGGTCTCATGCACCTGCCTGGGGAGCACACGGGCAGCTCGTGGGTCTTTTTGTTGTAATAAAAACCACAGCACACGGCTGCTTGCTGCCTGTGCTCAGGATCATTTTCACTGTTGAGCACCTCCCGTGGATCAGTGCATGTGGTCCCCACACCACCCCTGGGACGGGTAGGCTCCACCGGCGCCCTTGTTTTTCGGGGGAGAAACCAGGGTGTTCCTGGCCGTCTGCCTTCCGGGCCTATCCCACCCCGTCCCACTGTCCTGCCCGGGGAAAGCTGCTTTGGTCCTCACATCCCACCAGCAAAAGCTGGACTCGAACCCAGGTCACGAGAAGCACTGAGTCCTTGGAGAGAAGCGAGAGCAGCAGACCCCTGGGGCTTGGAGGGCTGTGACTCTGTCCCCATCGCCTTCCTCCACTGCTACCCCAGCTTCAAGGTCATTTTCCTGGGTGCCTGGGGGAGGCCGGTGGAGCCCCAGGGCTGAGAGGTTCTCTGCTCCACAGTTTGGAGACGCCGGCCTGCGGCTCCTGTCGGAACACCTCACCATGCTCCAGGTGCTGAACCTGTGCGAGACGCCCGTCACCGACGCCGGCCTGCTAGCCCTCAGCTGTGAGTCCCGAGGGGGCTGCCAGAGTGGGGGAGGGCCTGCTGCATGCGTGCATTCAGCAGACCTCGGCTAAGCACAGACTGCGCCCTGCACTGTGCTGTGTGCTGGGCTATATTCATTCAACACGTGTTCACTGAGCACCTGCTGGGCGCCAGGCACCATTCTCGGTGCTAGGAACAATACAGGAGGGGAAATATCCCTGCCCTCGGGGAGCTTATATTCTAGAAGAAAAAGGGAAAGTGAGTACCCATACCTTCCAGATACTTGCCTGAGGAAGCAGGTTCAAGGAAAGTGCTCTAGGACAGTGTTGCCCTAACCAGCGGCAGCCATCCCCTGGGGTTGGAGGGGCAAATTCTCAGGTCCTGCCCCAGACCTGCTGACTCAGAAACTGCATTTTAACAAGGTGCCCAGGTGATTCCCGTGCGCTGTTCAAGTTTGAGAAGCGTTGCCCTAATAGAAGGGGCGCCTGGGTGGCTGAGCCGGTTGAGCATCCAACTCTTGGTTTAGGCTCAGATCATGATCTCATGGGTCGTGGGATCGATCCCCACGTCGGGCTCCGCACTCAGCAGGGAGTCTGCTTGAGCTTCTCTCCCTCTGCCCCTCTCCCTCCTCGTACATTTTCTTGTCTTTCTAAAGTAAATAAATCTTTAAATATATATACATACACACACGTTCACACTCAGGGAACTCAGGAATGCTGATTCCTGTACCCCAACCCTCATCTCCCGGACTAAACTCTTGGGTGCTACGCCTGAGACTTTGCACGTCCCGTTTCTGACCCACTGGTTTAGACCAGAGGCCCCATACCTTGGCTGGGAGGAATCGAGGAAGGCTTCCCAGGGAGGTGACTGGATCTGGGTGGACAAGACACATACGTAGGAAGTGGCCGAGGAGGGGTATGCTGGGCAGTGGCCATGGCTCCTGCAAGGTTGTTGGCAAACTCCAGATGGCTTGGGCAGGGTGGGCACAGGAGACGGGAGTAATGGAGGGCAGAGAAGATGAGGCTCGGAGACATTTCTGTACAAATGCGCTTCTTGGACACCGTCATTAGAGTCTCAGAGTCCCTGGCTCAGCGCCCGGGAGTGGAGCCGAGCATCATATCTCTAACAAGCGACTCTGACCAAACCAAAGTTTGAGGCCTGCTTTCAAGAAGTTGGGGCCTGGGTCAGCCCTCCCGGGAGAGCTTGCAGAGTTCCCCTGGAGGACGGGCCAGGCCTGGTCCCCTGGGGCGATCTACGGTGTGGCAGGCAAGCTCTGGGGATATTTGGGGTACAGGCAGTGGAGGGAGGCTCAGAGAGCAGGGAGAGAACATAGGCCCAGACCAGTGCCTGCCTGAAACAGACTTTCTGACTGGTGGGCCCCGGCCGTGCCCCTGAAACTCCACTTCTCCCACCCCATCTCCTCATCAGGGGCCTGGGCCCTAACAGTCAGTCCCCCAGCTTGACTGCCCCATACCTGCAGCCACCCTTGTGGGGGTCTCACTGACTTCATGACTGTGTCTGTCTGTCCTTGTACAGCCATGAAGAGTCTCTGCAGCTTAAACATGAACAGCACCAAGCTCTCGGCTGACACCTATGAAGATCTGAAGGTAATTCCTTGCTCCCTCCCTCCCTCCCTCCCTCCCTCCTTCCCTCCTTTCTTCTCTCCTTCCTTCCTTCCTTCCATCCATCCATCCACCAGCATCTAGATACTGGCGCTTCGCCCTCATGGAGCTTCCGCTCCAGCAGGAAAGGCAGTAAATGGAATAATGGCAGGTTGAAAGGAGTGATAAAGAGGAAGCCAGCAGAGAATGGGTAGATTAGAAATAGGGGTGGTCCCTTTGAAGCAGAGGCCGCATAAGCTGAGACCTGAAAGATAAGCCACAGATGCAAAGGGTGAAAGGAAAAGCAAGTGCAAAGGTCCCGAGGCAGAAAGCGTTGGCATGAACTGACTTTGTGGCAGATGTGACTAGAGGGTAAGAATAGACTGGGGCCAGGCTTAATAAGGCCTCGTAGGTCACAGAAGGGCTCCGGATTTCATCCAAATTCAGTAGAAAGCTTTCAGAGGCTCTAAGCAATGTAGTGAGTTATGCTTGTAAACGCTCGTTCTGGCCGTTACCAGGAAAACTGATTTTTTTGCGGGGGCCGGAGGCAGTGCCAGCAAGAGGAGAAACAGGAAGCACATTTATGGGGCTGGTGCAATCTCGCAGATAAGAGCCTGGACTGGCAGCCTGGGCTAGGTTGGCAAGATAAAATTGGGGAAAGGAAAAAGGATCTGAGTGGGGAAAGGCAGGACACATTTTGTTTGTAAAACAGGTCTTGGGGGTTGGGGAAGCCGGGCCTTCAGCAGCCCCCTGCCCCCGTCTCCCTGGGCCCGGTACCCTCTGCCCCCGAAGGAGCGAGCGGAGCTGCACTTAGCCAGTGCCAAGGACGCCGGAAGCCCCTCAGAGGGAATCCTCACCGGCAGGGAGCCCACTGCCAAAGATTGCTCTGCCCCTAAACTTGAAGGAACCCAGATCCAGACGGTGCAACCGAGCAGCAAAAGGGTGTACATAGTCAGCCACCTGTGGAGAAGAGCCACTTTCATGCATTCGAGAGGCAGGCGGGCGAGGCCCTCCAGATCACTGCCCGTCCAGGAGAACCTGGAGACCACATCCCTGTGTTGCAGTCTCCTGATCTTGAGAGGCTGGCTTAAAGGGTTTTTTACAGTGCTGCAGGGTGACCGCAGGCCCCCAGGTTGTCACCTCTGCCTGGGGAGCGGGGGGCCGTGAGCTGGGCCCCAGCAGAGAAGCACCAAGGAGCTGTGTGTGCTCGTGTGTACGCACGCGTGGTAGAAGGTCGCCCTGGCCGGGGTGCACGGGCGAGTGGGAAGGGAGGGAGTGCGGGGAGGAGAGCCGTTAGCCCTCTCTGTGCAGGGAAGGCTTGTGGAGAGAAAGCCAGCTGTTTATAAAAGAAGGGAGGAACTTGTCTAGGTAGCAGGGATAGAGAGCAGGAAGCGGCTCTGAGCAATAGCAGGTGGAATTGTCTGGGAGGATCTGACCGAGTGTCCTGAGGGGGGAGACTCTCCGCCCCCCCCCCCAGTACCTGCCCTTACGGGGATCCCGTGATCCCGCTCCCCATTCGCGTGCCCGAAGGCTGGTAATGATGGGATGTAAGCAATAGGAAAAGGGAGAACAGTCCCCATCTGCAGAGCATACCGTCGTGTGTCGGACGCGGGCGTCCTGTGCGTTAGGTATTCTGTCCTTAGCACTGTCCTGGGAGCGGAGGACTGGATCCCATTCGCTCCACAGACGTCTCCTGAGGCTCCCGGAGGCTGGGGGCTCTGCCCTGGGTCCTGTGACCAGCAAGTGGCAGAGCTGGGGCTCACGCCCCGGGCTTCCCGCCTACAGAGCCAGGGATGCACAGCCTCTCAGAGGAGGGGGGCGTGGAATCCCCAGCAGCTGTCGCCCACGATCTCCGGGGCTGGGCACACCCCATGTGCCGTGTTCTCCCCGAGGTCACCCAGCTCTGCGCTCCAGGGAGCCCCCGGTGGCAAGGTGGGCGGAGGGCAAGGCGGGACCCACAGCCACCGAGGCAGGGCAGCCGGGCCCGCGGGGTCGGGTGCTGGAAGGGACCAGCTCCTTCTTGCTGCCCCACAGGCCAAGCTCCCCAATCTGAAGGAGGTGGACGTCCGCTACACGGAAGCCTGGTGAACCTCCCGGCTCGGCAGGAAGGCGTTTGCAGCTGCGACACACAACTCTTGACTAATAGCCGTAGAGCGCCGGCCCTGGGGTCCCACCCCCAGCGTCCCGGCTGTGAGATAGATGGGGGAGTCTTTCTGGGGG